TTTCTAGTGGGTATTTCCTGATGGACTATATCTTACTCAGACAGTACTCCACATTCGGTTACAAATCCAGGCATATGCTTTCTAGTGGGTATTTCTTGATGGACTGTATCTTACTCAGACAGTACTCCATACTGGTTTACAAACCTGGGCATATGCTTTCTAGTGGGTATTTCCTGATGGACTGTATCTTACTCAGACAGTACTCCATACTGGTTTACAAATCTGGGTATATGCTTTCTAGTGGGTATTTCTTGATGGACTGTATCTTACTCAGACACACAGTATACAACAGTCGTTAAGAATTTTCTTTACGTATACCGAACTAGAATCATACTGCAAATACACTTTTTTTGTTGTTGTTTCAACTTTCCGTGTCTGGTTTCACCGTTTGTAAAATACAAATAATGACAGCACCTACCTCAAAAGATTTACGTAATATATGGATGTAAAACTTGGCACCAAGTGCTAAGTAGAAACATCCCCCATGGGACTGGGATTTTACCCCCGGGAAGAAACACAGATGCGTGGTATAGTAAATGTTTGCTGAATAAATGAAAAAGGGAATTTCATTAACAGATTGTGAACGGACAGTTGTGTAAATAAACAAAAAAAAAATAAAGATTCCAGTAAACATATTCAGTTTGCGAAAGCAGATATGATTTTAAGAGTTTCATTCATAAACACTGATAAAGTGCTAAATACTATGTTATATTCTGGGGCCATAAGAAGTATGAGCTGCATGCTGAAAAGGAAAAGGGATAGGCATTTTAAAAGAGCCGCAAAGGAGTGTTTCCTTGTACTGTCAAAGAAGTATAGCGGGTAGGAGTTGAGAGAGGGAGAGGAAGGAGCTAAGTCATATTTTTTAGTTAAATAGCCACCTATCCTACAAATCAAAATCACCACAGCAAGAGAAGACCAGTCTAGCATGTTTTGTCTCCTTCCCTTAAGAAGATATTGAATGGCAAAGCATCAAGAAAGGTGCCCTACAGAGGGAAGTCTTCTGGGTGATAATGTCCTGTATCTTGTTTTGTGTGGCGATTTATAAAACAACAACAACAACAAAAAAAGCCGTTGCTGTTGAGTTGATTCTGACTCATAGCAACCCTATAGGACAGAAAACAACTGCCCCATAGAGTTTCCAAGGAGCACCTGGTGGATTTGAACTGCTGACCTTTGGGTTAGCAGCCATAGCACTTAACCACTACATAACCAGGGTTTCCGATTTATACACAAGGGCGTACAACTGCCAAAACTCATCAAACTAAACAGTTAGGAACTATGCATTTTAAAAAGTGCTCCCTTTTTCAAAAGGAACATAACCAAATCCATCCTCATCATAAAACGAATGCAGAATGATCTGATCCATTTCAAAATATCTGGGGCAAGAAATTCTTCTGACTCTTCAGTAATGGGTGAATTGCAGACTACTAGAATTCTCCACATCCTCGGTTTCTGTGGACTCTAGGAGTGGATGCGTACGTTTTAGCCACATCTCAACTGCTGGTCAAAGCATTATGTTAGAGGATTGTCAGTGGGAAATTTGCTTGTGTTTCACTCTGTCTTGTGTATGCTTGGAGGAAAAGGGAGTGGAAAAAAATGAGACAGGCAACACCATACAGTTTTCAACTAGAAATCCAAAAACCAGCTTCGCGCTCTAGGACTAAAAATGCACAGGGCGACTTTGTACAAGTCACTTAAGTATTCTGTGCCTGTGATAATCTGCTACCCCAAGGATGTCGTAAGGATAACACGTATTAATTTGTGAAAGCCCTTTGATAAGTCAAAACAATATATTATGCTCAAGTGACACTGATGATATACTATAGATGCAGTCAAACCCCAAACATCATTCTGACAATCCTATGTTTTAAACTTCAGGGCACACCCGCACACATCACATGTGAACTAGAGTGGATCGTTCAAGGGGGTTGAAACAGGTAATTACCCCCTCCGGGAACAAGGAGATGAGAGGGTGAAGGCTCTCTCACTAAACTTCCAGAGCTCTTCTAGATTTGATCTTCCAAGATATTTGGCATCATCTGGTGTACATTAAAAGCGGAGTGGGCGAATGAGGCCCAGATTAAGATCAATTCTTCCTGCCCCAGATCTTGTAAATTCCACGGGGAGATGAACTGCCCCTGGAGTACAGAAGGCTTCACTATTGAAATATCGGAGCGCGCTGATGGAGCCATCAACAAGCATTCACTGTATTCCTTCGCAAACCTTTAGCACACACCTCAATGCCTCCCTCAAACTGCGTCCATCGCAGGCTCGAGTGAGGACAAGGCCTACAGGTCTTCAGAGCATCCATCACGACTCCCTCCCCTTTCTATGCCAGGTCCGGCGCCCTCCGGCCATCGCACCCTCTCCTCTCCCGCCCCAGGGCCGCCAGCCTCACCAGCTGTTCCCGGCGGGTGGAGCTCCGATCGGCTGGCGCCCGGCGGCCCCGAACATTAACGACACCCAGGAGCCTGGCCTAGAGGCTCAGGCCCGAGAACAGACCCCAGTTACTAAACGACCGGCGACTCTCAGGGAGCAGTTCAGCATTTTCAGGAGCGCTTCCGGAAGCAGGCGGGAGGCGGAAACCGGATGCCCGGGGCAACCATTAGTTCTCCTCCCCCTGGTGCGCCGCCTCCAGCCTCCGCATTTACCCACGGAAGACACCCAGGCGAATACATCCAACCTTTTCCTTCACATAAAGCTACTAATTCTCTTTATAGGACTTTGGAAGCTGAAACAAAGTGAAATAGCAGAGGAGTGAATGAAAAGTTGAACCCCCGGGACTATCCTAATGGTTTAGCCCCGTTGCCACAGAGACCGATAGTAACACCCGATATAAGCCCGGAGCCGAGAAGACATGGCCACGTTAGCCCGCCTGCAAGGTCGGTCGGCGATTGTAGGAAACCAATACTACTTTAGGAACAAGTAAGTCGCCCAGTGAGGGGTCGGGCTGGGCGAAGGGCTGGCGTGACCCTAGCCAGTTGTCTCTCCGGAGGAGTTCCTGTTTAGAAATTGCCTCATTTAATAAGTATCACCCATTTCCCCCCTTAATTTGTCGCCTTCATACATAATCAGGCGTTTAGAAGTAGTGTTAACTTTGAGGCGGACTATATTTAAAGAGGGGCCACAGACACTTGAGATGGTTTCAGTAAACTCCCAACATAGATAAAATTGTAAAGTGAAGTGTTTTTCTTTGACATCATCCCTCCCCGATTTGATGAAACCTATGTCTCTCCTGCTGAAGATTTAATAGACTGGAGTCACCCATGCTCCCTGGCTTTGAGTTCAGTGTGTCCTTCATCCACCTAGGGATTTGGACCTCCAATATTTCACAGCCTTCTTTGAACTCAACTTTTCTACCACTCATTTGCTCAGGGCCAGCCCTGATTTGTCGTCTTAAAGTGAAAGTATCTAAACCATTCTGATAAAATACTTAGTTCCGATATATTAATTAATAGGAGAGGACTAAGGGTGGCACCAGCAGCTTCTCCATCTCTCTACACCCAAACTTTTCACCTAGTAACAGGTTAATATTAATAACGGTCTTCTGGAAGCAATGTCCCAGGAGTTCTGTCCAGTTTATAAAGAACTGTCAAAAAATTAGACAATGACAGAATATAATGACATGGTAGACCACTGGAAAACATGTCAGTAAGAAAGGATCTTGCTGAGCCTTTCAAATTCTAATATTTATTGTTTTAAGCACCTTGTGGTCTGTTTTACAGCATGTATCACAATTCACTCTTATGTTCTGTTGTGAGATCAGTTGATTAATATCTATCTCCCCGTTTCAACAAGAAGTAGGAGCAATGTCTATTTTTTGCTCACCATTCCTTCAGTGTCCAGTGTCTGTCACAGCTCCTAACAGGTAATAGTGCACAATAATTTGTGTCTAGGTACGTTGAGTCGGTACTGACTTATAGCAACCCTGTGTATAACAGAACGAAATACTGCCCGGTCCTGCGCCATCCTCACAGTCATTGCTATGCTGGAGCCCATCTTTGCAGCAACTGTGTTAAGTCCCTCTCCTTGAGGATCTTCCTCTCTTTCACTGACCCTCTACTTTACCAGGCATGATGTCCTTCTCCAGGGACTGGTACCTCCTGATAATGTGTCCAAACTACGTGAAACAGAGTCTCACCATCTTCACTTCTAAGGAGCATTCTGGTTCCACTTCTTCCAAGACAGACTTGGGGCACAATAATTCAGTCCATAGCAACCACATATAACTTTTTAAAGATATGTAAGTGTAAATTAATCTGATGTATGCCAAACTCTTTTTTATTTGACTTAGCTAAAGAGGAAGGTGTACGTAGGAGAAAATCAAGAAAGCAGTGGCTAAGGAAGAGAGCTAGAAGTTCTGCAGAGACTTATTGTAGGGACCAAGTATCCAAATGCCAAGTTCCCAGATCTCTCACGACCTGCTTGGGGACATGGGAACTGTACGGGGATAGAGAGAAGGGAGTAGAAAGAGAAATTTTATTGAATGCCTTTTGTGTGCTAGGCACTATTAAGTACTTGCACAAACATTATTTTAATTGATATTCACAAGAATCTTATGAGGTGATTTTTTTTTTTTTTATTCCTACTTTACAGCTGAGGAAAGCAAAATTTAGAAAATCTAAATTACTTGTCAAAGATTAAAAAGCCAGTGAAATTTGTCTATGTCAGTCCAAAGCTTATGCTTGGGGTAGTGGGACCTTAAATCATTAAGACTGCATGAAAGTAGGTGGATCAGACACATAAGATCTGCTCTTCCAAGGTCCAGTTGAAGAAAACACCCACTACAGTACTCTCTTGTACAAAGTCTGTGATCTACCTGTGTCTCATTACTCTGTTTCAACCTAACTTATAATATTTCTTAAATTGGCCTGATTCTGGAATCCAGTATTCCCATAAACTTAACCACTTTGTTTCTGATTCCAGCATAGGCAGTTGACTATAGTTCCAGATTGCTCTCTTGCTCTAGTCAGCTGGTTCTTTATCCTTGCATTTGGACTATCATTTTAGTCCTACTTCACTAACCAAATAGCAGTTTAGTGGGATAGATATGAATCCCTTCCTCTGATTTTAACTTAATTGCTGAATTTTCTGCTACTCTCAGCTGCACTCAATTCTGACTGGTAGAATTTAGCAAGGTTTCTTCCAAGAATACAATGATGATTTATGCTAGAGTGCAGGGGATAGTTCAAATCCTAATTTCGTTTTAATTTAGGCTTAAATTTAAACTTTCTTTAAATTTAAATTTGTCTCTTAAACTGAAACTGTTACATTAAACTCTTTAAATTTCAGTTTCCTCATCTGCAAAAGAGACAATAATGCCTATACATATATTTTTTTCTTTTCCAAAATTTATATGCTATATATATGTTTGGTGAAGTGCATAAACTGTAAGCGTAAGGCTCAATTAATTTTTACATATGCAGTGCCTATACCTGTGTAACCTCCACTTAGACAAAATCTTTAGTGTTTGTTTTAAAATTTTTATTAATGAGAAATAAAAGGAAATGTGCTTAATAATAAAGAATATGTTTCTAAAACTAAGAGCCATCATGTATATTGGTGACATACAATATAGATGATCCATTTAATTTGAATGTAAAAAAAAAAAAAAGGGCACACTAGTCCCATTCTCTTAGAACATTGTTCTGAGGATTGTAACTAATACTATAATAAAAGAAAAAAATATTAGTAAGTATTTAAAAGGAGGAAATAAAGTTAATAGTTCCATATTAAATAATTATAAAGCTGAGAAAATGTATGAGAATCTACTGAGAAACTCTAAGGAGTAAGATAAGTTTGGTAAAGTGTCAGGTTACAAAGTAAATTTAGAAAAACTCATTAAGTTTCCTTGGAACGCACAATAACCACATGAGGAATTGGATTGAGAAGACATTCTAAGCATTTATGCATGCTTCTCCTTTCATCCAATTCAAAATACTCGTATGTGTAAAAAAAATTTTTTTAAAGAATTAATATGCAAGATTGGGAAGAAACTAAAAAGCATACCACTAGGTGACCAAAAATTTTGTGGAATTTCTAGAAAACAAATTCAATAGGAAGAGGGAGAGGTGGCAGCCTAAGCCTGCATTCTTGATCCTTTCTCCCTCCCAACTTTCTGCTGGGACAACTCAATGGTCAAAATAACAAAGCCAGACAGTAAGGACTAAGAATCCGGCTGCTTGGAAGGAGCTTGCCTTGAGTGAAAATCACAGATGCTGTGGATATTGATGGAGCCATCTAGCTAGCACAAGTACATCTTCAGAATCTGCTACCACATGCTTGACAAGTACTTACCTCTGGGAGAGAGCAGCTTCCTTCCTTTGATACTGGACGCACTGGCAGGTTAATAGAGAATTGGGCCAAGAGATGCCTATGCCTCATACCCCAAAAGAGAGATTCCAGTTTGCTGACAAGTTCACTTCTGGCTCATTAAAGGAAAAAGAATCTTGATGGTAAATTGCACTGCCTGTCAGTCCATCACTGCCCAATTGGCTTGAGCAAATAGCCCTGCATAGATATCAGGCAATTGAATATCTACCAGCATTAATAGGCAGAGAAAAGTCACAAGCCATTCAAAGGGACATTAACTTGGAAGAAGGAGATTAAGCCAAGAATCTAGAACAGGTGGCTAATTTGGGGGATATATTCAGGAGACTAAGTTTGTGAATAATAGATACTACAGAATCTGGAGTAGGGGTGGAGAATTGATATATAAATAATAATAATTAAAGAAATACTAGAAGAAAACTTTCCTAAACTAAAGAAAGAATCATGAGTATGACTGGAAAGGGCTCCTTGGGTCCCAGGCAGTTTTTTGCTTGTTTGTTTGTTTTGTTTTTTAGAGACATACTTCTTAGATACTATCTGGTGAAAGTTCTGAATTGTAAGGATATAGAAAACAATCTTACAAGCTTCTAATCTAGACAGAAAAGAAAAAAGCCATTTACCAAGGGAAGAAACCAGCATTAGATGCCTCATCTACAACATAGGAACCTAGGAGAGGGAGGAACAAGAATTACTGATTATTGAAAGCAAAAGTCCACAACCAACTAAAATATAAGGATTCTAAATCCAGAAAATATACATTTTGGGGGAGTAAAATAAAGACATTTTCAGATATGTAAAGACTCAGAATTATGTCATCCATGTATCCTATCTGAGGAAATATACTCAAGAAAATACTCTTTCTAAGCAAGTGAAAATGAAATCAGAACAAAACTCTAACTATAAGGAAATAAAAGCAAATAAATAAATAATAGATACAATGATGAACAATTATACTTGTGATATTTATAATTAAATTTAGGTGAGCATTTTTACTTAGATTTATGGGATACCTTATCATATACAGTTAAAGGATCCAATTGGCACTTTCAGACATTCTTTGTACACATCTCCTTGGCCAAGTTCACATGTTCATTAGTACATTTCAATCTTCTAAGTGATTACAGGCAACAGTCTTGCTAATTGTTTTACTAATATATAATATAGGTTCTTGTTTCTCCACCTTCAATATTACTTTCCTCACCACTCTTCTAGCCTACACTAAGAGACTCTTCACT